GAGCCCTCACTTGGGGGCATCCAGCCCTGTGCCTGGCACACAGAAGCATCACCCGTTACTGACCAGTTTCCCAGTCCCTCCATCTCAACACGGTGGCCTCCATGTCTCTGTGGGATGCTGCTGGTTCTAATGATCCTGAGTGTCTCCCACATGTCGTCCCTGAGCCTGGACCAAGGGTCCCACAAGCCCTTTCTTTGGTCTCTGACCCCATCTGGGTTCTGCTCTGGCCAGAGATTAGAGGGCAGACAAGTCTCCTTACTTCTCCTTTCTGTCACCTCCATCCAATAGCAACACAAATTACCTCATCGTGCTACACAAACACCTGTAATATGTGACCTATACTTATCCTATTGTATAATAAAGCTATAAAATAAAACATAATAACTGTGTTTTTGAGGTTCATCCATGTTTCTGCGTGTGTCAGTAGTTGGAAAACGCACACCGTGGGATTCCATTGATATGAGGTTCTAGAACAGCTGAAACTAATTTATGGTGGAAAGAGGAGGAGTAGTTGCCTCTGGGGTAGGGTGGGAGTAGAAAGAAACGAGAGGGAACTTTCTGGAGTGATGGCGATGTTCTGTATATTGGTAGGTGTTTGGGTTGCACGGTGTATGCATTTTTCTAAATTCAGTGCACGGTCCACTTTAGATTTCTGTATTTTACTGTATGCAAATTTTACTTAAAAGGAAATAAAAGAGGACTGCAAATTTGCGATGGACTGTAATCGAGGACCCGCATGACCAAGCGTTTGGGTGGAAAGGTGTGGTGTCTGCATCTCGCTTTGTAGTGCATCAAAAAAATAAGGTGGATGGAGATGCAATAAAGCAAGGAGAGTAAGATGTTAACGATGGAGTCGGGAGATGGGCACACCGGTATCCGCTGTGGTAGTCTTCCAACTTTTCTGTGTATTTGAAATTGGGGGAAAATACTTAAATATAATGATATGATAAAATATATTAGAAAATAAAAATATAACTAATAATATTGTGGGAAGTAAAAAAAATCTTATTCGTAGATGGAATTTATTAAGCGATTTCCACATGCAAGCACCTTACTGACATCGTCGTGGTCTATGAGATGGACTCAGTTTATGGATGAGAAAACAGAGGAGACTTGGGAGGTTACGTTGTGTTTTGTCCAGGCCACGTGTCTAAACAGCGACAGAATCAGACCATAAATCCAGATCCGTTTACCTATTTTGTCTTCAGTTAGGCTCAGGACAGCATCTGACACAAAGGAGCATAAGGGCTATTTCTTGAAAGAAAGAAGGAAGGATGGAATAAATTGGACCCGAAACGTGTGTAGGAACAGATGTGGCATGGTCGCAGCCAGGGGAGTATGTACGAATGTGACGCAAACATGTCATGGCTCCACAGTTCTGTCGATGGGGGACTCTTTTTCAGATGGACTATAAAGAAGAAGTGAGTCTCCCATCCAGCAGCAGGTATTTTCCTGTGTTCTTGGGAACACAGGTAGGGGTGTGTGTGTGTTTGTGTGTGTGTGTGTGAGAGAGAGAGATAGACAGACAGACAGACAGACAGACAGACGTGTGGAGGGAGTAGTTGCCCCAAAGCAGGGCTATAGACTCACGAAGCGACTGGAGTTGTTGTTGCGCACGGTCTTGGCGTTGCCAAAGGCCTCGAGCAATGGGTTCGATTGCAGGATGATGTCCTTCACGTGCTGGGGGCGGAGGCGGGTGGGGTGTAAAGAGGTTAGGCTGAGGCAGGGCCGGGAGATGAAGTACCGTGGAGTCGGGGGGAACCTGGCCCATCTCTCTGTTTTTGCCTCACCTGGACCTTCTCGCCCCCACCGGACACTTTGGAGATGTAGCCCATGATGTATTTGGCTGCCACCGTCTTCCCAGCTCCACTCTCTCCACTGGGGATGGGAGGGGGCAGGAATGATCAGTGGCCGAGGTGGAGTAAGTGCCTGATTGTTTCCTCACTCACTCATTCGGTACCTACTGTGCACCAGGCACTATTCCAGGCTCTGGGGATACAGTCGTGAATGAGACAGACACGAATCCCTGCCCTCCTGGAGCTGACATTTAAAGAGGACAGATGGACAATAACAGAATGAATAAATAAAAGATATCGTGGGTCACATGGTGATCAGGCAGGTAAAGCAGGGCTAGAGACAGAGAGAGACGGCAAGACTGTTTAGATCAGGAGTTCCAAATAAATGTCCCTGGGTAGTGATGCTGTTCGATCAGGGCCTGGGGAGGGCCTGGGGTCCCTCTGGCCATACCTGATGATGACACATTGGTTCTCACAGTCGATGAGCATGTTCCGGTACATGTTGTCCGTGAGGGCATAGATGTGTGGGGGATTCTCATACTGGGCCTGGTGAGGAAGGGTAGGTCTCAGCCTAGGGCTTTGGGTTAGTGGCCCTGGGGACTGTGCCTCCCACCTGGCCCTGGCCTCACCGCGCCCTGGTAGAGGTCGATCTCACGCTCAGTGAAGTAAGGCATCTGCTTGAAGGGGTTTACGGAGATGAGCACGGAGCCAATGTAGGTCTGGGGGGTGGCTAAGGGCCAGGCGATGTCCTGGTGTGCTTTGTCCCCGATAGGTCCCTGTCCCCTTATCCTGCTCCCCTAGGGTCTCCTAGAGCCCCACTGTTCAGAGGAAGAGATGGCGATAACTCAGACGTGTCCTGGGTCTCTTAGGGAATTGTTCATTGGGGGAAGTGGGATATGTTGTGGCTGAGCTACCCCAGGGCAGAGGGAGCGGTGGGGACCGTGGCCACCCCCAACCACAGTCCTGCTGTCACTCTCTCAGCCCCCTGTCCTATCATCTGGCGCTCTCACTGTCCATCCCTCCGCTTCATTTGCTCAGGCATCCGTATTTCCCTTCTGTGCTAAAGTGCCTCTGACATCCTCCCCTGCATTCATCTACCCGCCACCCCTCCATCCCTTGGTCAGTTATCCGCCTGTCCCTCTGTCCTTCATTTGTCTGTCCCGCCCAAGGCCCAGGATACAAAGATATAGTCGTCCATGAAGCGCTTGCGGAGGTTGCCCACGATGGCGTCCTCAGTGATCTGGGGCAGCAGCACCATGTCGTCCACGCCGCTCTGTTTCACATTGTGGCTCTGCCAGTGGAAGCGCTCTTTGCTGCCCTGAAAATGGGGGTGGCAGGGTGGACGTGAGCCCTGGCACGGGGGCGAGGTCTGGTGCCTCCCTTACCTGGCTCATCTCCATCCGCAGCTTCTGATCGTGCTTCACCTCCTTCCCCATCTCCGGGACATCGGGAGAGGTAGGCCAGGTCCAGTCCAGACTCCCTACCCCCAGGAGGCCAGACAGTGTGACACAGCTCCTCCTTCCCACTTCCCTTTCAGCCTCCATGCTCCTCACTTCCTCAAACCCCTTCTCCCTGCCCAGGCCCAGGCCAAGTCCCTGACTTCTCTGCAGCATCTGACCCGCTGCCCACCCCTTCCACCTCAAGATGCCCTTCTTCCTCCTACCTCCCTTCTCTTTGGTCATGCATCCAAGCCTGTTGCTCTGAGCTCCTCAGAGCCCAGCTATGACCTCTACACTCTGTGCCCAGCTGTGACTCTCCTCTCCTACGCTTTCCTGCTGCCCCTGCCACCACCTTCTCTATCCTCAAAGAGCCTTCCCCCTGCCCTGTGCCAGCTCCGGCACCTTCCCAGGCTCCCGCTTTCCCTTTTCATTTCCCCCTTCAGGTTTTCATCAGTTCATACCTTCTGTTAGGACCCCAAGGAGGAGACCCAGACACAGGCTTCCCAGAAAAACTCCTCCTACAGGAAGCCTTCCTGGAATGTTTTCTTCTTTTACCCCAACTAAACTTATCCTTAAACACTAAACACTAAACTTAAACACTTAAACACACTGGTTCTCTTAGGCCCACTCTGCCTCTCTTCAGTACAGTCTTTCTGGCAAACAGAAGAGTGATGGTGGCCTTGAGCTTCCCTGTCTGGTGCACTCATGGTCGGATAACATGTCCCTCCTCTAGGAAGCTTCTTATCCCCAGACCAGGAGCTCCTGGAGAGCTAGGACTGGGACAGAGTCCTTTCTTAGCCCCAGGAGGAAGGACCTAGCGAATGAACGAAGGACAAGGGGGAAGAAAGAAACCCAACTTCAGAGGAAGACCCCAAGGGCAAAAAATGCTGGGAACGAAAGTCAAGTCTCCAAAGATGACAAACGTTTGCCGAGCAGATTCCAGGGAATGGAGATGGGTATGCTGGGCAGAGGGGACTCTGACAGGGGTCAAGCGGGAGGTCAGTGTGGGCAACTGTAGGGCAGAGGCGAATGAGAAGCCAGCCTCTCCCAGGGGTGCTGGGGAGGCCACTGAAATTTCCTGAGCAGGGGAGGTGCGTGGCTGGAATTCGGGATACTCTGACAGCTAGCGGAGGGTCTGCCAAGAAACGCCCACAGATATTAAACATACCCAGCTTCCCGTGTGGGCAGATCTGGATTCTCATCCTGGCTGGGTGACCTAACTCTGTTGTGAGCCTCTGTGGCTTCATCTATAAAATGAGAGAAGCATCCCACTTGCCAGGGGTGATGTGAGGATGAACTGTTCTGGGGAACAATGGGGTAGGTGGCTGATGCCCTTCCTTAGAGAATTTGTGACGATGGGCCTGGGCAGAGGGGCACGTGACAGAATTAACATTCACTAAGCACCTGGCGCCGGGCGGGGCTGTCACCAATATTACCAGCAATCTTCATAGCAACTCAGTGGGATGTCGGCTGGGAGGGAAACTGAGGCTTGAGAAGTACAGTGGCTTGACGCTTGACTAAAGATAGAGCTATATTGTTTCCAAGGGTGTGGGATTGAGTCTGGGTCCATCTGACAGCAAAGGCCAGGCTCTTGCATCTACACTTGCAAGTGTCTGGGACTCGCAAGTCGAGAAAGGTTTTGATCAAGAGCAGGAAGAGAGGGTGCACCAGGTGGAGTAAACTGCCCAGGCGAAGGTGTGGAGGTGTGACTGAGGTGTGACTCAGGTGTGACTGAGGCAGGCACAGAATGCAGAGGAAAGAGGGTGTGGAAGAGTCAGGGTGCGAACCCTTCAAACTGCTTCCAGCTTGAGTAGTCAGAGCGAGTTTCTCATATGGCAAATCTCGTCCCTTCTCTCTGTGGCTTTTCTCCTGTCTGTGGTTTCCCATCACCTTCGCATCCGTCCCTTCCACAAAGCGTTCTTGAGCACCTACTGTGTGCCAGTAACTTAGACATTCGAGAAGGACTCTTTCAGTTCTTTTTTTTTCTTTCAGTTCTTTACTGAGTTGCCTCTAAGCCTTTGCAGATGCTGAGCCCTCTGCTCAGAACACCCTTCCTGCCTGGTGAATACCAATCTATCCTCTAAGACTTGGCTCAGGGACGCTTCCTCCGAGAAGACCTCCCTGACCCTGGGACAGATCAGGTGGTCCCTCTGGACCCCCACAATGCCCTGGGCATCCCTCACCATAGCCCTGTCCACGTTTTGGACATCCCACACGTCTTCTGGTGTATGAGCTCCCAAGTGCGGGGGTTCAGGCCATGCCTGGCTCAACAAGGCATCAGGGCTCATGTGAATGAATAAGTGAAGGAACGAGGGAGTGCACGAATGAATGGAGGGAAGGGGTGGTCAGTCTGGGTCAGGTCCTAAAGGGCCTTGAATGCCAAGCAAAGGGATTTGGACTTGATTCCTTGAGGCTTAGAGAGCTCTTAGCAGAACCATTCTGCCCCTGGGGGCACTTGAGGAATCACGGGAGCATTTTTGGTTGTCACAGGGATGGGGATATGCCTGGCATATCAAGGGGACCACAGGTGCCAAATTTACACTCAAATAACCATCCTGCCCACAGCTACCCACCCCACTTGGCAGATGTTCATGTAAGTGACAAACCTGTTTATAATCAATCATTGGAACCTAGAACCCAATTTGAGTGTATGTATAAACAGAAAATCTACATCTTTTTTGTATGGTTGATACCCATTGCATTTTTCAGGAGTGTGACTGTCCTGTATCAGGGGAGATTTTAGCTTTGTTCAGATTTTGCTAAAACCGTTCAGCATTTGGAAGTTCATGCTGCTCGAGGTGTTAACGTGTCCAACATCCCACTTGTGCATTGGGCTATCAGCTCATCGAGACACACCTGTGTCCATGTGTGAGCACCTGGTGGCTACAGTGATCCTTGGACCACTGGCCTGAGCACTTTCATCTTGATGCATATGTTTCATTATAAATGACTTTCTCTTCCACATTGCAGAGGATCTAGGGGGCCTGTTGAGATGTTCATTATGAGAAGAAGGTGTCAGATGCGACAGAACCCTGGGATGCAATGGGAAGAGCCAGCTGGGGGAAGGACAAAGTTATGGGAGCAGCATTGTGGAAGGCAGGGGGTCAGCTGGGAGGTCAGAGGCAGCCAGGACTGGAGATGGCTTGCAGGTGACAAGGGCTGGTTGGGAGAAGCAGGGAGCCGTTGATCACACCCCAACCTACTGAAGAGCATCCACACTCACTGGAGACTGAGAGCATTGGTGACCCCAGGGTCAGAAGTCAGATTGCGAGGTCAGGAAGTGTAGACAGGGATCAAAGATGCTTGGGACAGTCTGGCTGAAACGGGGAAGAGGGAAGAGGCTGTGGGGAGAGATGGGGTCAGGGGGACACGTTTCCTGTTTGCAAGATGGGAGACCAGAGTGTGTTGGTGAGAAGGGACATGAAATTCGGGAACGAACTGGCATCATTCAGGGTCCAGGTGGGGCAGGAGTGGGTGGGGGACAGGAACTGGATTCTCTTTCTGAAGACCTCAAGGGGCAGGGCTTTGGGTGGTAACTATGGTAACTGACTACAACAATAGCAACAATAGTTAACGCTGCACAGGCACATATCCTTTGCCAGACTCTGGTCTAAGCTTTTTCCATGAATTACCTCATTTAATCCTCTCAACACATGCTGAGGTCAGTCAGTACTATAATTAAGTCCACTTTGCAGAAGAGAAAACTATGGCAGAGAGAGGTTAGATGTCCTCTCCAACATCACACAGCAGGAAGGGAGGACTCACGAGGCTGTCTGATCTGGGTCAGAGGTAGTGGGGTTGGTGCTTCAGGTCAGATGAGGATGAGGCAGGGACGAGACTGGTCTTTTCCAGGGTTTCCCCTTTGGGGTCAGCCGGGTCTCTATGCTCCTGGGCCCCTCAGGTGAAGCTGACACTCAAGGCCACTTCCTTTCTCTGAGGTCAGAGGCCTCAAGGCTGGCCGTGTCTGGCCGGCTCTCCTGGCCCTGAGGACTTGGTTCCTCTTCCTGTCCTTCCCCACTTCCCCCACCCAATCAAATGGCCCTTTGCCACTTGCAGCCCGTCTCCCCCTCTGTGTCCTGCCCCAGGCACCCAGGACCCCCGGATCCACTCCTAGCTCCATGTGATCGCAAAATCCAAATATTGTTAGCAGCAGAGGGAGAGAGGGGTTTGCTCAAGTAGGTACAGTGTGTGGGAGGACACAAGAATTTCGGCATGGGACCAGTACAGTGTGAGGCCTGGCTTGACAGCTGACTGTGACATGGGGAGGCCACTTTACTTCTCCAACCCTCAGTTTCCTCATCTTTGAAATGGATTCCATAATAAACTTCCTCCATGAGTTTGCTGAGAGGAGTAAATGAGCTAACATAAAGAAAAGATGCACTAGGGTGCCTCAGGAAATGGCAGCTGGTGGCCCCCAAGAGCATTTAGTGGAAATGATCAGTATTTGACAGCAGATATAGGAGCCGGCCAACACATAGTTGTTGAATGAATGAATGAATGAATGAAGTACCATTGGGATGAGACCGCCCCCTACCCTGCGTCATGGGTATCCCTCTCTCCGTGGCCCCAAAGTCTCCATGGGTCAAGTCGAAACTCTTTGTTCCTAAGTCCCTTACTTAGGGGTGGGGGTGTCACGAAGAGGTTGTGGTCACAGTTGACCACAAGCCAAATATGACTCAACCTGCTGGGGCTCTTGTGAAAGACAGTCAGGGGCTCGAGGTGGCTGGGTGGGAAGAGGAAGGTGGCTTCTAACTTTAGCTCTTCAGAGAGGCCCTCACAACTAAAGGCAGGGGACGATGCGGGGTGGGGCTTCCCTGGTGTAGAGTGGGGAGGGACTGTTTGTGACCAAGGTGATGGCTGCCGTAGGGCTGGGGCATTGGAGTCCTGTAGTGAACACGCTTCCTGAGCCCCTACTGTGCATGGACGTAGGTGAGCCCAGGCCTAGGGGACCTCAGTGTACCCGGAGCAGGTGAAGGGAGTTGCCCAAGGGAGACTATGGGTCCACATCCGGTGGTGCTAAAGAGAGGTGGGGGTGATCAGTAAGGGCTTCCTGCAGGAGGCAGCCCTTGCTACATGAACTTCCCAGGCAGAGTCAGTGGTGGCAGCAGGAGCCATGGGCCAGGAAGGCCTTGGGTTTGTGTGGGACACCAGGATGTTCGTTTCTTTGGAAAAGAGAGTCTGGGTTTAAATGAGGCATGGACGGCCAGACTGGGGCATGCGAGAGTTAGCACAGCCCTCTCCCCCATAGTGGCCTCTCATCTTTTACGATTAGGAGGTCAAGGTGGCTGTTAAAAGTGTGACCTCGGGAGTCACTGAGTTGAAATCCTCTCCCACTTTTGCCTAATCTCCTTGTCTCAGTTTTCTCATCTGGAAGATGGGAACATTGAGGGCCACAGACTTCTCAGGGCAGCCGTGAAGATTCAACGAGGCGAAGCGTGTGAAGCAGAAATGCTAGCTTCCCTCAGCGCCGCCAACAGCAGCAGCAGCTGCCTTACATTGGTCAGTTCCATAGGCACAAGGCGTGGGGCCAGGAGGAAGGGCTGGATAAGGGAACTTTTGCAAATTGCATTTGCCCCAACTGCTCCGGCCTCCCCACTCCTGGGCGGTGATGAGCAGAACCCCAGGCTGGAGAGAGCAACAAAACAGCCACTTCCTTCCTTGCTTGGGTCCTGCGAACTGTGGTTGTCAGCCAGGAGGAGATGTGAAGCTGCAGTGGCTGCTGCAGGCAGCCCCCAGCCCTGGCCCTGCCCTGTCCCCCTGGTGTGCCCCTTGGTCCTGCCCTCCCCCAACTCAGTGGGGTTCTGGGGCCACACCTTGTACCTTTCCACTGCGCAAACAACAATCTTACTTCCTAAGGCTCCCAGGGGGAGAACCTTTCGCTTTTCTTTTCTCTTAGCCAGAAGCCATTCTCCAACATGTGGGGACCCTGGTCCTCCCAGAGCCCGTCCTCCTAACTCCGGGCCCCTAGCCTTCCGTGGGCACTACCCCGGGACTAAGCGGCCTCATCGCTGGCTGCTCTACTTCACGTCTGTACTTTACAAACAACCACCAGGACCTTCATGTCACCACCATCACCACCTGAGGACGACCAGTTGCGTCCTTCACCCACCAAAGCCAAACAGAAACAGCCGATAACCTCCGCCATCAGCCAACATCAAACAGGAAAAATGACTGATTTCTCTACCAGTTCCTCACCATCAGCCGCCACCGTCACTACCTATCATCACTGGCACCAGCAATCCATAATAACCAACCACTAGGAGCAGCCATCGCCATGACCACAATACTAGCCATCGACAATCACACATAACCAGCTACCACTGAAACAAACCATCCACCATCCAACAGTGTTCACCACCAGCTAGCACCAACCCACCCACAAGAATCATTGTTACCACCACCTTGCAGCAACTAACAGCAACAGGGCACCAACAAACAAATAGCCATCCATCTTTCTTTCTTTTTCTCTTTCTTTCTTTCTTTCTTTCTTTCTTTCTTTCTTTCTTTCTTTCTTTCTTTCTT